AATGACGCTTGAGCTGATGTTGTCAAAATCGCCTATCGCTCGGTTCACACTCCTTCCCCGTTTTTGGAACAGGAGAGGAGGATTATCACTTGTTTCCTGTTTAGGATTGGGTTTCCGGCACCTTGTAAAATCTACTTCAAATCTATACTTCTATCGTCTCCGCATAAACTCTGAAATTTTGATTATTGATTTTTTTTCCTCACAATGGGAGGAGATACTTTCACCTAGCGCCCTGTTCAGACTCCTCCCTCATCCGTGAACATGGGTAGAGGTTTATTCCATGTTTCCGGCTAAGGATTGGGTTTCCGCTTCCTTCTTAAAGTTGAATTGTTTTCATTTTCTTTTACTCCCAGTAGCCACTTGCGTCTTAGTGACATGATCACCTTACTTAGGGTGAACTGATTAAATATACGCGCGCGCGCAAACACACACACACATATATATATATATATATGTATATGATAAAATATTGTTTTAAGTTATGCTATATTTATGAGTTAAAGTGCTCAATCTCAGGGAGAGAACGTATGTAAATATAAAAATAGGCATTGAAGTCAACACCCATCAGCGACTGTCTGTTTCATGCTTAAAGGCAGTCGTCAGGCCAAAACGATTGTCTTTTAGCATGAAACAGACAGTCGCTGATGGGTATTGACGTCAATGTCCACTTTTATATTTACATACGTTCTCTCCCTGATAGTGAGAACTTTAACTCGTAAATATAGCATAACTAAAAACTTAAAACTATAATAACTTAAAACAATATTTTATCATATGTATATATATATATTTTATCATATATATATGTGTGTGTGTGTGTTTGTGTGTGTGTGTGCGTGTGTGTGTATGTGTCTCTGTATGTGTTTCCGTATTCTAGCAGTTTCTTTTCTCTCGCTTCCCGACAGTGGAACTCCCTTCCTCTTACTTGCTTTCCTGACGACTACAATCTTCAAGAATTTAAATGCAATGTCAACCACCATCTTCTGCTGCCTTGATCCCCTTTTATCCTATATGTACAGTCTCCCCCCACCACTTTCACTCTCTGTAAGCTCCCCTGCGTGGTAGTGCCACTGACGCCGTTCTTGGGGTGAAATGCTTAACAAAAAAAACCCCAAAAAACTTTTTCGATGTGGAAATGCTCCACATACAACGGGTTTCAATACTGTTTCTCCTACACTGACTGCCAACGGAGGCTACAGTGATTAGTAAAACTTAGATAAATAACAGCAACATTTGCAAGTTGAGCTAATATCTCTGGGTTTTTTTATAAGCCTATGTGGCAATATCGGTCTATTAGCGGTAAAGTATAAAAGAAGTCCTTGCATGGAGTATTGCTGCCATATATGTTCTGGAGCCCCTTCTGTTTGCCTCGGGGTTCTTGATAAGATCCAGGGGCGGATATGCAATATAATTGACCCTGTTCTGGCATCTCGTCTGCAGTCGCTCTCTCTCACAGAGTTGCCGTCGCCTCTCTCTGTCTTTTTTACAAATACTTTCATGGTAATTGCTCCGAGGAGCTGCATTCGCTGGTTCCCAGACTTCATGAGTTCAAGCGGCCTACGAGGCTGGCATCACGCTCTCACCCTTTCACTGTTGAAACTGTTAAATGTAGCTGTCTCTTCTACTCCAATAGCTTCATATCTTACACCTCTCGCCTGTGGAACTCCCTTCCCTATTCCAGTTTCCCTGAGAGCTATAATCTTCAACTATTCAAATGTAATGTCAATCGACATCTCCAGTTGCCTTGATCTTATCCACTATCCTTCTCCTCATCCTTTCTTCTATCACTCCTATCTGATCTTGCTCCAAATCTTCTGTAACCCCTTGCGTCCTAGTGGCTTCCCGCCTTGCTTGGGGTGAAACGCTTTAAAAAAAAAAAAAAAGAAAGTCGACATACGTGTTTGGAGGGTGGGGGGAGACAATGCCAACGGACTCAATTACTGGTTACTGACTTTATCATTTTAGTCTTTATTGGTAGGACTGTAATTATTACTTGTTAAACATTGTTCCCTTGGCGTTAATTATCTATTTAACTGCCCTATCCTAAAAGAAATCAACGTATTCATTTCGACCGCCTCGCTATGGCGCACAATAAAGTCCAGGCTCTTTTCAGCGGAAATGCCTTCAGTGGAGATTAATTTAATTCTAGGAACGTGTGTGCTGCATACAAACGAAGACTGATGGTTTTCGAGGATCGTTTCGACTGTTTAAGCATCTCGAATTACAATGTGTGTCCGTATTGTTTTTATTGTTTGTCTTTCTTTTAAAAGCGACAAGAATCTTATATTCAAACCTACACCGCACCCGGTAATATGTATTTGGGCAGCAATCATTCGTTAATATATATTTTCTTGAAGACTACAGGCAACGAATTCTTTTTATTTTATTTAAGAGTACTTTTTCATACAAAAGAACGTAACTATGTATATAATATATGTATATCAGGTCTTTCCTTTGGGCACCTAGCGGCGTTGTAATGGTTAGCAAGCTGGTCTCGCTAGAACAATTACGACTGAGTAGAGAGTTCGATCCTCACTAGGTGCCCCCTACATTCGGCCTTGTGCCACATCTAAGCTACGCTTGGAAAATCACTGGACATCTAGACGTTGTGTAATGGTTAGAAAGCTTGTCTCGCTAGAACAATTACAACTGAGTAGTGAGTTCGATCCTCACTGTGTTCCCAATACTTTCGGTCTTGTTCCACATCTAAGTTACGCTTAGAAAATCACTATCAGGTCTTTCCTAACACATCAGATTTCGGATATTATATATATATATGTATATATATATGTAATTATTTATTTAAAAATATGGAATCATATTTTTAAATAAATAGCGATGGAATCATATTATATTTAGGCTCTACTATTTACCTAACAAGTTCTTTCCTATTTTCTATATATTTTCAAACACACACACACACACACACACACATATATATATATATATATATATATATATATATATATATATTATAATAAAAAACATTTTAAATCGCCACACAAAAGCTTTCATGTTTCAATACTATGATTTTACTTCGTCAGGCGATGGTTGGTAAATAGTGTAACCCTTGAGTTGCTAGGAGGCGCTTCTGGTCAAGTATGTAGGCTTCCTGTCGCGCAGAGTTGTCCACCAATATATATATATATATATATATATATATATATATATATATATATATATATATATATATATATATAGGGGGTATATGTGTGAGATCGGCAGCAGTCATTCTCTAATACATATTTCATTAAAAAAGACTGACAATTCTTTTTGAGACTTGGTGTGTTCAAAAATTTTCCGATTCGTCGTCCCAAGAGCTCTTGGCTAATCTGCTTGCAATTTTCATAATTGGTGCTGTTTTTTCGTGATAAACGTTTAAAATATTTTAGGCGCATTTTGCTGTTCAGTTAAGTGCCATACGTGCTACAGGCTTGGGCGATCATATCTCTCCACAACTTCCTCACCTAAAATAACTGTTGACTCTGTCACTTAAATGCCGTACAGGATACACGCTTAAGCTAACATGTCTCTCCACAACTTCCTCACATCACTCGCTGTTGACTCTTTCAGTTAAGTGCCGTACGTGATAGATACTAGGGCGATCATGTCTCTCCACAACTTCCTCACCTCACTCATATTTGACTGTTTCAGTTAAATACCATACGTGATACACTCTTTGGCGATCAGGTCTCTTCATTATTTTCTCACCTAAAATAACTGTTGACACTTTCAGTTAAATGCTGTACGTGATAGACGCTTTGGCAATCATATCTCTCCACAACTTCCTCCTCTCAATCACTGGTTGACTCGTTCAGTTAAATGGAATACGTGATACACGGTTAGGCGATCAAATTTCTCCACAACTTCCTATCCTAAATAACTGTTGGCCGTGTCAGTTAAGCGCCATACATGATAACCTCTTGGGCGATCATGTCTCTCCACAACTTCCTCATCTCAATCACTGTTGAATCTTACAATTAAGAGCCATACGTGATACACGCTTGAGCCATCATCTCCTTCGATTCGTGACTGACTTAGGAGAAGATTTTCACACAGTATGCTGGGGTTTTATTTCTACGGTAGACTGGTTGCCAAACAAAGCTACAGGTCCCTGCCTATCCTGCTATTTAACCCATAGCTAGAGGGGGTGGGGAGAAGAGCTGGATTGATGCCTTTCTGGTGTGTATAACATTTGTGTTCACGACAAGTAGGTTGTGTATCGCGGTTGGTATATTTTCAATGGGTCCTTGATATTATGCCTAGCACCAAACCCGTTCAGAAATACCTAAACTCACAGCTATATACAACCGCTTTCTATGCTCAACAGTTAAAAAGATCTTTGAGATAGCGAAGACTGTGTCTCTTGGTGAAAAGCACACTTCTTCGAAACTTGTAGATTGGCACAAACAGAATCACTAACACAGACGTGAACCAAATGACAGATGTGACATCATTTTAGGATTTTCCACAGAAGCAGCAACTAAAACGGATAACATTTGTAACTGGAAGAGAAAATAATGACATAATTAGACGCGCTGTTCATTTATTAAATAGTGTATTTATTTATTTTCGTCTACTGGCCTGAATGTTCAGGAAATCTTCTCAGAGAAAAGATTTATCGAATATTCAGGCCGGTAGACGAAAATAAATAAATATACTGTTTAATAAACAAACGGGTCGTTTACACAAATACGAGTACCCATTAAAAATGACGTTTAAGTAATAAAAATCTGTCGGATTAATAAATAAAAACATCCATTCCTTTTCGTTCGTTCTCTCTCTCTCTCTCTCTCTCTCTCGATATATATAAATATTTTCTCCATTTATGTATTTATGATGCAGTGTATATATATATATATATATATATATATATATATATATATATATATTTCATTTATGTATTTATGATGCAGTGTATAATATATATATATATATATATATATATATATATATATATATATATATATATACTGCATAAATGGAGAAAATATTTATAGGTTAACATTCTATCTATCTATCTATCTATCTATCTAATTCTGTTCATATCTATCTATCTATCTATCTATCTATCTATGTATCTATCTATCTATCTATCTATCTATCTATCTATCTATCTAATTCTGTTCATATCTATCTATCTATCTATCTATCTATCTATCTATCTATCTAATTCTGTTCATATCTATCTATCTATCTATCTATCTATCTATCTATCTATCTATCTATCTATCTTGGCCTGTTGATTATCTATCTATCTACCGTGCGCACGCATATGCCGAAAATGTTCCAAGAATAATATAACTACTTCTTAATACACACACACACACATGCAAACACACACGCGCGTGCATAAACACACACACATATATAGAGAGAGAGAAAGAGAGAGAGAGAGAGAGAGAGAGAGATACATATAGATATAGATATCCTTATTCGCGTCTATCAGTCTGTCATATTACATTCGCTGTCCGTCACTTGGTGTCAGGTTCCCGTCTTTTACATCCCCTAAAGAACCCACGCTCCCCATGCTGTCATGCCATCGTAACCACCAGCGCCACCCTTACCCTACCCTGTGAGAAAATCTCCTCTCCCTTTCTCGTCTCCGTCATGCTTGACCGGTCAGCTAGACTGGATCCACCCTTATTCGACGCGGTCATTCGACTGCTATGCAACCAAAACGCAAGAGCGGGTCGAGAACGGGTGGGAGATATACCCATAATGAGATAGGATTTTACACACACACGACGATGTGGACAAGGATTTCTGTATTGATCGTAAGAATTCAGAATCAGGAACGTCGAACACTGATTAACCTCTCTTTCTCATTTTTCCCTCTCTCTGTCTCTGTCTCTGTCTCTCTGTCTCTCTCTCTCTCTCTATATATATATATATATATATATATATATAGGTGTATATCAAAAATACTTTTACAAACTTTTGGGGTGGGTTCCTCACACCAAACAAGGACAAAAGTCCATATAAGTTTAATGTTTATGGTAGACGCTGTCAAATGTTCAATCCAAGATACAATTCAAAAATACTTATTACTATCGTTTGTGGTGCCACGGATCCTGTCTCAGCAACGCTACGATAAACAACAGCAACTATATGTAAATAGCAGGACAGACCGGGTTCTATAGCCTTGGATGGCAACTGGTCTACCGCAGAAAGAAATGGCAACCTACTGCGGTAATAAAATCTGCCTCGTCAGTCATGTATCGAAAGATGCATAATCGCCTAACCGTGTATCACGCATGGCACATAACTGACTGATATTCGCTTAATATCAGGGATATAGCATATGTAGATATAAAAGATGACATTAAGGTTAACACCAAACAGCGACTTCTTCAACGCAATCTTCAGGTCATCTCTCTCTCTTTCTTTCTTTCTTTTCTCTCTCTCTCTCTCTCTCTCTCTCTCTCTCTATATATATATATATATATATATATATATATATATATATATATGTATGTATGTATATATAGTGAAGTGGTTTCTGGTGGACTTCTCCTCTGATTTAAATTCAAAGTTTTCTTCTCCTAGAGTGGCTTCCACCCAAGGCTAGTGACTTCATTTTACCGTTTCGTTTAACCCATAGCTGGCGAGATAAGGGACTGACACATACCTTTCCCAATGATATAAATGCAAAATGAATGCAACAGACTAGGCTTGAACTTGGCACTCCATTTACACTTTTCGCGCCGACAACAGTTATCTAGTGACCCAGACATTCAAGTCGGGGAAGTGGGGGGGGGGGAAGAACTGTATCCATTTTCTTGCACAAACTTACAAACGATGGCGTGAGATGAAGCAAGGTTTATTTTTAATCTGGAGCGCATTATGAGGAAAGCGGGCTTCGAAAATTGAACACTCACATGACATCTATAACAGGCGCAGCAGAGTAAAAAAGCCAATTGCTTAATCGATTTTTGAGTATAGATGTTAGAGCGGAGACAAAGGCAGTCAAACATGGCTTAGAACGACAAGGCAGAGGAAGTTATGGAGAGTCATATTCGCCCTCGTCCTGAAGGAACAAAATATATAAAAGAAGTTTAGTTTAGCCTAACGAAAGGCCAAACACGGGAGGTATCCATTATTGTTTTACTGTCAATTACGTGCCGTGCGTTATACGCGCTTAAGCGATCATGTATCGAAAGATACATGATACATGCAGATTTTTTCCCGCAGTAGGTTGCCATTTCTTTCTGCGGTAGACCAGTTGCCATTTTTTTTTTTTGCGGTAGACCAGTTGCTATCCAAGGCTAAAGATTCCTGCTATTTACCCATAGTTGGGGAGAGAAGAAGATGATTCATACCTTCCCATTTCACGTAAGTCAATGTAATGGATTCAACTTGAATTCAAACTCGGCTCAAGCCGCTATCCATTACTCCACCGTAGGTATCCATTTTATTGATAGCTATTTTTTATACTAATGTTCACCTATTACATGGCCGAAGAGCCACTTAAGGTAGAAGGTTACTGGGTGGTGTTATATAAGTGGAAGAAAAGGCAAGAAGTAAAGTTATGAAGCAAAGTGAGGAGTGGCAAGTGGGGATGTGTACAACTGCAGCCCAGATGTGGCAGCAATACTTCATTTTTGGTCTGATCTGGCTCTTGTAAAGATAGCGAGTCGGGAGCAGATACAATGAATCGACCGTCTTTTGCACTGGATCGTATATATGAATGTCGCGTGAGGTCTGGGAAGACCTTGAGTCCCAACAGACTATAAATATGTATTGTTGGTCATTCTACTATAAATATGTATTGTTGGTCATTGTACTATAAATATGTATTGTTGGTCATTTTACTATAAAATGTATTGTTGGTCATTTTACTATAAAATGTATTGTTGGTCATTTTACTAGAAATATGTATTGTTGGTCATTCTGCTATAAATAGTTATTGTTGGTCATTCTACTATAAAATTTATTATAGGTCATTTTACTAGAAATATGTATTGTTGGTCATTCTACTATAAAAATGTATTGTTGGTCATTCTACTATAAAATATATTATAGGTCATTTTACTATAAAATGTATTGTTGGTCATTTTACTATAAATATGTATTGTTGGTCATTTTACTATAAAATGTATTGTTGGTCATTTTACTATAAAATGTATTGTTGGTCATTTTACTATAAATATGTATTGTTGGTCATTCTACTATAAATATGTATTGTTGGTCATTTTACTATAAAATGTATTGTTGGTCATTTTACTATAAATATGTATTGTTGGTCATTTTACTATAAAATGTATTGTTGGTCATTTTACTATAAAATGTATTGTTGGTCATTTTACTATAAATATGTATTGTTGGTCATTCTACTATAAATATGTATTGTTGGTCATTTTACTATAAATATGTATTGTTGGTCATTTTACTATCTATTGCTGGTTTATCTACTACAAAATATATTTTTATGCTTTTTTTGGTGGGTGGGGAGATCAATATTTTACCATAGTTTGAACGTAGCCTCCTTGAGAGAACACCTATCCATCATGATAGGTGAACGTTCGGGGTCTGCTCGGTGGTGCGGCAACGTTACTAGTTTGGTTTTGATCGTATTGAATTTTACAAACCATACCTGCCTCACATTGAACCACCTGGGCTGGGTCAGAGGAGAGATGAGCTGCTAGGTTTTGGACAATCAGATTTCTGCAGGTGCACCGATAAATTGTTGTATCATCCGCATAGGTATTTACTCAAGATCGGACTATGTTCTGAGGTAGATTCAGCTCAAGATCAAATGTGAAATAAGTGGGAAAATAGGAAGATTATGTTACGCCAATTTATTTTCCTGCTGGAGATGGCCTGCTTGGCCGGCTAAAACGTCAGTATTGAATATCATAGTTTTCACCACGTCTTCAACATCGACCGATGAAAAATACACGACTTTACAACTCATGAAACGAGTGAAAAGTTTATTAAAATCCCAGCTGACGTGTTGGGAAATGTAAAATACTAATGTAATTAATATATAGAAGAATGACTCTTTTTTTACATCCGTGATGGCCGAGTGGTTAAGGCGTTGGATTCGAAATTCAAAAGAATTTTCCCACACAGATTCGAACCCTGTTCACAGCGTTAATTTTATTTATTTTTTAAAAACTTTTTCAAACCAATTTTATCTACTGATTTCCTTGAACAAATATCCCCATTGTTATATAGGAATAAAGTGTCGCTGCCGACACTTGAGATTGAACATAGATCACCAGTGAGCAAACACAGGCGATCCCATTATTGAACTAAGTAGACCACGTGACCATAGAAGAAACGCATTTACGTAGGACATAGCTGGCGACTAACGATCAGCATTTTTATTCTATCCTCTATTACTATTCGGATCGCTTTTTCTATTGTATCCTCTATTACTATAAGGACCGCTATTCTCTACTCTATGCACTATACTATTTCTCTATTCGGATCACTATACGGGTTACTATTCAAGCGAGTATTATCGAGCAAGTACTATTAGTGCGAGTGATATTCGAAGGCGTCTGACACCAGTATTGTTCAACGGCGTTACTATAGTTATATCTGCGATTACAAAGTCTCTACTACAACGAGAATTTCGAAAGTGACAGCCAGTATTCATTGACATCACAAAAATGTTAACGAGTGTTCGTTGACATCACAAAACTCATTTTGGTTATTGTCATAACGTTTCGGTATTTGTGGCCTTTTGGCTTCTTCAGATGTGTCGTAATTGTAGCTGTCTTTGTGACCTTGAAGGAATTTCGAACACAGCCCTGCATTTAATCCGCATGGGTAAACTGTGCTTATTTGGCTGTCACTGCCAAGGGAGATAACTCGTATCAGTTAATCCCGTTTTGTGATGCTGCTTGTCGAAACCAGCCTGGTCCAACAAAGGCTAGAAGAAGGTAACTTTAAAAAAAAAATCCACCACGCATGTCGTCCCGAATAAAGGAACTGGTTCACCTACTTCAAGCCGGGATAGAAAATAATGAACTCATCTGGTTTAGTACAATCGTTTGAACTCTGGAACACGACACGGCGTCGTGGACTTCTCTGATTTCGGACCATTCGCCCATGGGCGTATTATCTACAGCACTTTAGACGACAACGACATTTTTATATTTAACATGAGGTCATTTTATGCTCCGGCCTTCTTCAGGTTCTTTTTATATTTCTTAGATGAGGACAGCAACCCGATAAATATAAGTAAAGTAAGTACCGCAACACAGAAATATAGACAGATCTGGAAGTCCGGAGTGTACAGCGACCGAAACGTCATGAATATGGCAATAAAGATGAGGACAACAGCCGGGACAATGTAAATAATGTAAATACCTCAGAAATATAGACAGATGTTGAAGAATCGGTACGGACCCGATTTACCGGAAATATGGAGACAATTAGAATGGCATGAATATCGAACCATCTGACATTTCTACAGAGACTTGGCACCAAGACTTCCCCTCAATTCAAGGAGAGTCCGTCTGGTCGCAGAAAAAGTAGCACACGCCTTTGTCCGAAAATAATCCATTACAAACGTTGATAACACAGAATATATATATATATATATATATATATATATATATATATATATATATATACACCACGTACACACGCACACCACGCACACGCGCGCACACACACATATACATATGATGAAAAATATAGTTTTAAGGTATACTATATGGGTGAGGTAAACAAAACACACACATACAAACACACACATATCTCTATCTATAAAAGGCATGTGTGTGTGTGTGTGTGTGTGTGTGTGTGTGCGTGTGTGTAACGAATGCACGACCGCAATTTTCGACGGATTTGCACCAAAATTTAGATGCACATGCTCCAAGTTAAGGGAAGGCCAAGACCGACTTTTGCATTTCCCAACTCCCATCGATAGTGGAAATAATCGATATTTTCATGCTTCTACGGCAGTTTTCATGTAGTTTGCGGCCATTTTCTACTGGCCAGAGTGAGAGCCAATAACTGGCGTCCGCGAATAGGCAGGAAGATTCTATTGGCCAGCGTGAGAGCCAACAACTGACTGACACGAATGTTAACAGTCAAACTAAGCTTTGAACACAAGTTCACACTGACATTATGATTTATTCTGCACAATCTCTAAGGTAGCAGCAGTCCTTTCAGAAAATCCTAATTGAATCTGAAGAAGTAATTTTAAATTTGTACAAATTTTAATTTATTTCACTAAAGACTTAAAAGGGAAAAAAAATGATGTATCTATCCATCTTTATATACAGGGTGTCCCCCCCAAAAATGTATACACACTTTACCAGCTAATAGTTTAATAGATATTTTTTTTCTTTCCTGGTGAAACCCATTAGAATTAATGATGGTAGTCAAGCTAAGCTTTGAACAAAGGAAATTCATTCTAAACTGCTATTTGATGTGTGAAAACACAGTTGAAGTGCAAAGAGTTCAGGAGGGAGTTTCAAACAGATCCATCAACAGGACTTATCATCACTTGAATTAGAGATAAATTTGAAGCTGATGGAATTGTTCAGAATGTCAAGAAGCGTTCCAGAAGACCAGGGACATTGACAAACCCCAGAAAGAATACTGGAAACATATCACAAAAGTCCAAGAAAACCTGTGTGGAGAAGCAAGTCGAGGTAGGTATTTCAAAATCATCTGTCCAACACATTTTGAAGTGCTGTCAATAAAAAAAAAGTTACATTCCAAGATTAGTCCATGGTATTAATGACGATGATCCAGACTGAAGAATGGAGTATTCTGAGTAGTACTTGGCATGATGCACACTTTCCAACAAAGATTGTGTGGAGTGATGAGGCCATATTCAAATTAAAAGGTTCAATTAATCACCACAATTGCATCTACTGGGGACTTGAGAATCCACATGTTATGGTGGAACATCACATTAATTTACCATGAGGTACGGTTGATCATCAAGAGGATTATTTGAATCATTCTTTGTTGATCCTAATGTAACTGGTCCTGTTTACTTGAACTTGCTGTAACAGTCTGTCATACCAAGTGTTAGAGAGATCTTTGAAGATAAGGAGTTTTATTTTTAACAAGAGGGACCCCCCCCACACACACACACTACCATCATGATGTTAGATCTTACCTTGATGAGATCTTGCCTAACAGGTGGATTGGATGAAGGGGTTTTGTAGAATACCCTCTGTATTCATCAGGATCTCACACCAACAGACTTTTTTTTTTATAGGGATACTTAAAAGACAAAAGTCTACAATATGAAACCTGCAACTGTCACTGAATTGAGAGCAGCCATTGAACGGGAATGCACAAAAATACCAAACGAAATGTTTGGTGATGTTTGCGATTCCACTGCCTCACGTTGTCAGCAGTGCTTGGACCAGAATGGATGTCAGTTTGAAAACAGGCGTTGACAAAACAATAAAATAATGTTTGTAGATTCTATTAAATTTTGAAAATGAAATGTATTTTAATAAACACTGACTTTATAATTATTTTAAATTGTGTATACATTTTTGAGACACCCTGTATATATATATATATATATATATATATATATATATATATATATATATATATATATAAATGGAATAATAATAATAAAAAACGAAAGAATATTAATCTACAACCCAGTGTGTCTAATGATTTTAATTTTTAATCTTTTATTTTCTTATTGTTCAAAATATATATATATATATATATATATATATATATATATATATATATATATATATTATCATTTATGTATATATAAAGGATTAATGATTTGATTTTACTTTTAATCAACATTATTTCTCATTACTTAAGTGTTATATTTTAGTTGATATACATGTTTGAAAAGATGCCCTTCGTATTTTTTAAACTGAGAATTACATCCCTACAAAGGGGACATAACTTCAAATCCTGTTGGAGTGCACATTTCCTTTATTACGATGTTTGAATGTACAGGCTATAAGGTGTGAATTAGATTGTTAAAAAAAAATTGTCTACGTGAACATATACATCCACTAAAAGATAGTGTTTTAATATACAGAAGAATAAAACTGCTGAAAACTTATTTTGCACACAAAGAGCCCTTATATTTTTTGCAGTCGTTTGATTTTTCAATATTACATCAATAGGAAGACGTTGTTGGATGTGAATTGTTGTCAGTCAGTCCTGAAGAGTTTTACCTGTCTATATCTCTGAGATGAGGTATTATGATTCTTACATTATTTACATTATTCAGACTGTTATCCTCATCATCATTGCCATATTCACAACGTTTCGGCCGTTGTACGCTCCGACCTTATTCAGGTGGTTGGAATGTCGAACCCTTTATTTCGCTCACTGGTTAAGGCAGGTAAGAACTTGGAGAGGGAAATTAACAGGAGATAACTAATAACTGACATCCATTAAACATGGCACGTTGTTATAAATATGTCGACAAAGATGAGAACAATAGTCCGAATAATGTAAATAATGTACATAATACCTCATCTCAGAAATATAGACAGATACTGAAAGGCCGAAACGTTGTAATAAATATGGCAACAACGATGAGGACAATAGTCCGAATAATGTAAATAATGTACATTATACCTCATCTCAGAATTATAGACAGATACAGAAATACCGATATTTAACACAACCAAAAATAAAATCGTTCAGGTTTTTCAGAGAATCGACTACAAATATCACCATTTGTTTTCTGGAAATGTGTCCGTCTTCTTCTGTAACGTGCGTCTGACGAATAAATATGTCAACGGTTATTTTTGCCAAATGGGATTTTTCCCTGAGTTAAACGTTAAAACTAGGACGCATATCTCAGTCTATCTTATCATTTTTCTCCATCTCTTTCATTTTTTTTTTTACAACATGAACAAAAAAAGGAATGTCTTTAGGCCAAGCAAACGATTTAACCTCCCGATCATTGTAATTTTGGGGGGCAGTGGGTGGGGGAATGGAATGTTAAAAAGGACCTCCAAAAAGCGAGTTATTCAATTTTCTTTTTTCGATTTCGATCGGTTCGGTCTTGAAGAGTTGCTTCTACGTCAAGCGAAAGAATCTGCCTTTAATCATTGTTGTGCGCATGCGTACTATTGGAGCGAGAGGCCGGCGAGAGAAAAGTGTCGGGAAAGATGAATAAAACATAAATGTGTCCCCACATGGCTGTTTTATTTTATCTTATTTTAGCAAACAATACCGTCCTTAACTTAAAAACAAATAATTGAAGCCAAAAGACTGGATCCATTTCAGACAGGACCAATCTATTGTATCAAGTACACGGAGAGCCAAAACAGCTATCGGCGCGTAATAGGAAATCTGATGGCTGAGGTCAAAATCTTGTTTAGTCTGTTGCATTCACTTTCCTATTAATACCTTTGGGGAAGGCATCGATTAATTTATTTTCCCAGAACTATTTGTTAAATAGTAGACTAAGCGCCAGTCTTGGATGACAGGTAGTGTAGGGGAAAGACAATTCTAAATTTGAAACCGTGAAGATGGCTGTGAAATTAAATCCCTACCTTTTTAAAGAAGCCATGCGAATTGAGAGATAATAAAGAAAAGGAACCTGCGGAGGGCTATAACCCGCCTAGAAATAGACAGATTAATCAGAATTTCAAAACCACTGCGAATTCAATGGTAAACCACTCCACTATCTCTCCTAAGAAGTGATGGCAAGTCATGAATAATAAAGGAAATATATCTGTGAAGATTCACGATCATGATATATATATATATATGTATATATATATATATATATATATATATATATATATATATATATATATATGGAAAAAGTTTCAAATTAAAAAATATATATATATATATATATATATATATATATGTGTGTGTGTGTGTGTGTGAAGAAATATAGTTTTAAGGTGTGCTATATTTATGGGATATAGTGCTCAATATCAGAGATAGAACGTATGTAAATATAAATATAAAAGTGAACATTGAAGTCAACACTCAGAGGTGACAAGCTTCTTCATGCTAGACGCAATCGTCAGGCCGCGAATGTTGGATTTTTTCTCGACTATTTATATATATGGGTCTGTGGTGCATTGTGGATAATCTATTCTGGCGGTTATTTTTGCAGGAGAGGCTTGTTTGTTTATTTATTTATTTGTTTAGGCTAATTTATTTGTTTTTAATTTTGTATTATTTATTCTTTTCGGTGTTTGATGTTTTATTAACGTAGTAAAAAAAATTGGGTGTGGGGGCGGGGATTTGCTTAGGTCGCTTATTTAATAGTTAGTCTTAGTCTGGGAAGATAATTAAGGCTATTTATTCATTCAATGTTTAGATTGCTTACCGTAGTCTATTTTGTTATTTTGGCGGGGGGGGGGAGGGAACAGTTTTTTATTTGTTTATTTATTTAGATTTATTATTTTTACTTATTTTTACTTATTTATGTTTATTTTCATTAGTTCGGATTGATTTTTTTATTAAAATAATCTTTTAAAATTCCCCTGCCTCTTATATGCCATATATAGGTTTAAAATTCGCGATAGTCGGCCGAAATTAGCTACCTGGCAACTCCTATTAACTTAGACTTTACAGTAACTTTTATATACCTGTCGTCATTATTTCAAAGGATATTATGCAGATTAAAAATGTTATCATTGATAATATTCATTATATTAATTTCATCACGTTTAATGTTAGTAATTTGTTTCACTAAAATTATGTGCAATAAATTCAAATTATATATTTGTAAAATATACTTGTTTCATTAATATTTTTCTTATGATAACTTCTGGTTGCATTGGTATAAATACAATCAGAATTATTATATCCTAATTATTTCACTAAGATGTTTGCAAGATGCAGGTTGTACAGATTATATAAAGGAAAACTTTTGACTGAATTTTAATGGTAAATGTATTGTTTTGCTCAATTGTGATAATGGCTTGATTTTTATTTTGTTTTCTTACCTTTCAATATAATAATGTTTTTAAAGGCTTGTTCATTTTTTCATATTATTTTTCGTTTAATTTTAATCATGGCTTGTTTAACCAAAATAATACCTCATAAATATAGCCAAGACTGTACTATTTACTAATATTTTTTACTAATTGCTATTTTTTTCTTGATTTGCCAGGCTAAAATTAGGGTGCGTCTTATACACCCGTGCGTCTTATATACCGTCAAATACGGTAATTTTCATTTCAACAACACTTATATCCCGATAAAAAATGTACCAATAATCTCTTGTTTGGGCATTTTTTTTAAAACTCATGTTGAAAAACAAAATATATTAAAAACAAATAAAACAAAAAAAATGATAGGTAAATAAAATCGAATGAAAGTATGATCTTACCTTTCGGTTGACATGTCCCTTTCATAGCATCTTGGGAGTCGCCGTGAGTTTCCTGCAGATCGTATCGCGTTGACTGGTAACCGGCACTGTCCAAAGGAACACACTCCAAATCGGCTGCACATTTGCCAAAACCCTGGTAGATTCCCCCACAGGGCTGGTGCACGGCGCGCAAGCAAACCGTACAACAGCCGCAGTCGTCCTTCACACGCAGCTGCGGCGTGCAGTCGAGCAAGTAAATTCCACCTTGGCGAGGACAAGAGCAGACATTACAGGCCGGATCCGTCAAAGACGGAGCCGGTGGTACAATAACCCACGGCGCCTCCGAAGACGGTGCAGATGAGTTGTATAGGGCTACAACAGAGGCTGAAGGTGGTTGCATCGGGCCAGACGTAGACCCGACTTTCACCGTCTCGTTACTTGATTCTGCCTTGCCCGGAGACAAAGACTTGGGTGAGATAGATAGCAGCGGGGATGATACATTGTTTGGCGCTGAGGCATTTGAAGACACCGCCGCCGTAGTAGTTACCAATTTTAATTTCGTTATAATCGATTCATTACTTTCCAGAAATGATTTAACCCTCGTTTTGTGATCCTCAGTCTGTTGATTTTGTTCATCAATAGAATGAAACTGACCGTCTTGAGGTGGGTTGACCCAGTCAAGATGGCTATGTCGCCATACTTGATCCTGAATTAACTTTTGCTGCTGTTGTAATTCTTGCTGCATGAGAAGTTCATGGTGATCCAATCGGATCTGTGCTGATTCTTCCTGCTCTTTGAAACCGCTATTACCTTCTTCACCATGACGGCGATCTGGTCTTTGAAGTTTGGTCGGAAAATGCTGAACATGTTTGCGGACACTGTATAAGTGATGCTGTATTTTGCGAGGATCAGTCTTCTCGCCCGGGTTTGATAATAAAGTTACTGATGTGTCGCCGATCGCCACGGGTGAAGCGGTCACAGGCGTCGGTTGAGGATTTTTCTTGTCTTCCAAATCGGGGTCACCGAATTCTACGGCTACCCTCGACAATGTCGTTGTCTTTTGAACCGTTGACGCAGTAATTCGCTCCGGATCGGCATTCGTGACGTTCGTTTGGTTGTTTTCGCCCTTTATCGGCGTTTTCGGGTGGCTTTCAGCTGTTGCCCACGTGGTCCGTCTTCGAAGTGTCGACGTATTTGAAAACGAAGGCGAATGATTAGAAGTAGGTTTCTCCGTGACCGAGTGGGTGTCGGTATGTAATTCTGCAGCCGACGACGATGATGACACGGCAGGGTCGGCTGAAATGATGGCATCGGGTCGCCGGTCGCTTTTGAAGTCGTGCCCAGCGTGTGACCAGGTTTGTCGAAGTGAAGTAGCATTTAGATTTCCGCTTGGGTGTAGTGCGGTAGCCGCCACATCGAGAAGTGCAAGAAACATGGCCACGGCGATTAAGGGCGAGGTCCGATAAGGCGATCGTTTGTAGAGACCGGCCCGATAAACGCGTACTTCCGACGTGTTTTTGTATTGGAAGTATCCGGACATGCTAACATGCTTACGATTTCAACATCTATACTGGTTGGAAAAGAAAAAAAATGAAAAAGAAAGAAAAAAAGAAAGGACAAGAAAAAAAAACATTGAAGAAAACTACAGTCAAAAATGGGAACATGAAATAAACATAGTATTCAATTCTGTATGTAATAGCATACAAAAAAAAATGAGAGAGAAACAAAAAAAGAAGATGAAAAGAAAGAAAGACAGTATAAGAAAAAAGAAAGAGAGGAATAAATAAAAGAAAAAGAAAGACACGCAGAGAGGAGAGAAAAAAAAACGAAGAGAGAAAAAGAAAACGAAGGAAAAGAAAAAAAGAAAGCCAGAGACAAGACAAGAGAGAATGAAAAATAAGACAAAATTGAAAGTGAGAAACGAGAAAAACCAACTAGGGAATGAATGAAAGAAAGAAAGAAAGAAAGGAAGGAAGAAAGAAAGAAAGAAAGATAGAAAGACAGAAAGAGGGAGCAATAAAAACAATAGAGAATGAAAGAAAGAAAGATGGAAAGAAAGAACAATAAAAAACAATAGGGAATGAAAGAAAGAAAGAGAGGAAGAAAGAAAGGAAGAAAGACTGATAGAAAGAGGGAACAATAAAAACAATAGAGAATGAATGAAAGAAAGAAAGAAAGAAAGAAAGAGAGGAAGAAATATAGAAGGAGGGAACAATAAAAACAATAGAAAATGAAAGAAAGAAAGAGTGAACAAGAAAGAAAAGAGAGAATGAAAGAAAAAGTTAAGAAAGAGGGAACAAAAAGAACAAAAGATAATTAAGTAAATAAATTAATAAAGAAAAGACAAGAAAAAAAAAAGAGAAAAAGAAAAAAAGGAAGAATGACATAGAAATAAAATTGTAAAATAATAAAAAAAATTAAAAAATAAAGTAGAAAAATAATATGAAAAAAAAAGATAAAGTCCTAAACCCAGGTGATAGCTTAGTGATAGAGATTCTGACCGATGCCAAGTGAGGATCGATATTAATTCTCAGTCGTAATTGTTCTACCGAGACACGCTTGCCGACGCGACCAGAATGATTTTCTAAGCGAGGCCTGACGTGATATACCATTTAGCTACAGAGGAAGCACCATTTTACAGTAAAAACAGTAATTTAACCTTGCTAACCAGACGCTTCTGTGTAAGATACAGGTTCGATTCCTGTCGGAGAACACATATTTTCTTTGAAATTTCTCGGACATTCAGGCCGGTAAATGTTGTTAACACTGTTTAATATAAACAGAGCAATTACTTAAATATTTGTATCTATAAAAATAACATATAAACAGAAAATATATTAAAATAATTGTGGCACTTAGTCCATTTCATAATATAACCTTTTTAGATTTTGTCAAAGACGTGACACTGAACACACACACACACACACACACACACACATATATATATATATATATATATATATATATATATATATATATATATATATGTATATGGAAAAGGTACGGTAGTTCGGAAAACTCACTTTGACCCCGAATTTGTGGCTGAAGGATTCAGACTCAAGACGGAAGTCTACATCAAGTCACTTGAGGAAGTATCGTTGCGCTGGATCAAGAGGGTGGCTGCTGGAAGACTCTGTGTATGGCAACATGACTCTGCACCATGCCATACAAACAGTCAGATAATTTCTGCGACCACATCACTCCTTACATCTGGCTACCTAACTTCCCAGACTGCAACCCCCCTTGATTATTATGTGTGGGGTGCAGTTGAGCGAGAGACCCAGAAAACTCCTTGTAACACCAAAGATGAACTGAAGGCCAGGATTATGGCAGCATTCACCAAATTAAACAAGGAGACATACATGAAGAGTTGCAGAAGAATCTGAAGCCGTCCGAAGGCCGTGGTTGAAGCCAATGACGATTTTATTGAATGAATTTACTCTTTAGTATTTCAAGATATTTTTGTGTCATTTTAGTAAATATATCTTAAAATGAGATGACAGCGTTATTCTAATAGTTGCGTAATTTATACGACAATTTATCCATCGCACCATATATATATATATATATATATATATATATATATATATATATATATATATATATTAGTCTTTTTGAATATATATATATATATATTTATATATATATATATATGTTTTCCTTTTTAATAGGATGAGGCAATTGGACCGTATATGATTCAATGGAATAATTTATGACCATGGAATTAGTGTTTAAACCTTTTTATTATATCCTTACTCTGTCCTAGACATTAAGTTCTACCTGGATTCTTCCTCTTCGATAATATTAATGGAAAATATACATACATATGCAAAATATATAAATACCCATACATGCATATTTTCAGAAAAAATTCAAGAGGAAGAATCCAGGTAGAACTCAATGTCTAGGACAGAGTAAGGATATAATAAAAGGCTTAAACACTAATATTCCATGGTCATAATTTATTCCATTGGAATCGTAAATACGATCCAATTCATCAGACCTACAAATTAAAAAAAAAGAAAATATATATATATATATATATATATATATATATATATTGACTCAGTGATGAAGTGATATTTAGCTACCCCCCACCCACGAGGGTTACATATGGCACAAGGCCGGGCCAAAAATATTCCTCTTTTGCACCTGCATACGCGGGTTCAGGGCAGTCAACCACCTCGAACGAGACTCTGCCCTTCGGCGGAGCCTCATTGGGTTCCTCTCCGCCCGAGAGCAGAGAGTTAGACTGTTACTTAGCAAATATTTTGCCAAGATTCAGTGATGAAGTTGTAAGAAGAATAGAAACGTATATATATATATATATATATATATATATATATATATATATATATATATATATATATAAAAGAAAGAGAGAGGGAGATAGATCGATAGATAGATTTGTATATAATGTTTGACATATATGTATTTGTATACATGCTTTGGATGTGTGTCATCCTGGGTATGACGATAAACTACATCCGGTAGCAAGGTCTCTGATCGGTATATTTTGAGAAGGGTGGAACCACCTCGTTTGCTGTTGTTCCCAGGTCCACCCTGACCCGGGGTGGTAGCCCCTGTTAGGGTCCCATCTATGTGTAAATAGTGAACTGCTCCAAACTAAAACAACACAAAACATGTCATCGCCTCAAGTAATTATGTCGACACAAACATGTATATATACAAAAGCTGAGTCTCATCTACCATGTATTCAACTGTGAAAGCAGAATAACATATATTTTTATTACTTCGAAGCTCCCAAGATAATTATAGATAATTGGCCGACTTCTCTTTTCCGAGTACACCCGTCTGCTAGGGCAACTTGCCAATCCCTTTTGCAGACTCCTGCTCAGGTACATTTGCGTTTGAACAACACCCACACAGCTCACAGCAACTATGCTGAGCGGGCTTTGGTTATAGTTGCTGAAAGAAATCTCACCATCTGATGTGATCCCTTTGAACAAAGCCACTACGCTCAAACTCACGGTCACGATGACTTGTGACTTCATTATATATATATATATATATATATATATATATATATATATATATATATATATATATATATATATGCTGTAGGACTCTTCCGTCATTTATTGTTTATCGCTTCAAGCTCATATGATTTGAATATAGTGGTAAAGGTTTTGTGAAGAACCAATCACAATTTTTGAAGGGCTAAATACAGAGATCTGGTGCAACGAATTTTAAATTCATAGCTGTCCTTCCTAACCAGACCAGTTGCCATCTAAGGCTATAGAACCCAGTCTGTTATTTTACCCATAGCTTGGTTGGGGAAGGCTGGATTCATACATAATTATGCGTAAGTGATTCAAACTCGGCTCTCTGATTTCTCAATCCGGGCCTGCTATCCATTACTCCACCGTGATATATATATATATATATATATATATATATATATATATATATATATATATATATAGCTCGATACCTAAAGTAGAGCAGTAATTATTTATTATAATTTTTTCATATAGAAAAAAACAATTTACTCCTACAAAGATGCAACTTCGTTTCGGTGAATTTAAATTGCACCTCGACTGTTGAGAACCAAAATTTGCATCTTTGTCGTGAGTAAATTTTTTTTTGTCTATATGAAAAATTATATATATATATATATATATATATATATATATATATATATATATAAACTGGTAGAATATTTTTGCTAATTTCTGTTTTTATTTCAGAGAAACGCGTGTAACCTAGGATGGCACAGCGTCTGACACTACATGAGAGCGGTCAGCTAGCATCCCGTCACGAAGTATAGCAGTCTGTGGTACAAGTGAAGAGATTTGGGCACAGTTTTTGTGGGTCTCTTGCTTCAGTAGATGCTAAAAACGACCAGAAATTGTCATTCCAAGCTGATGAGTACGGGATCTGTGGTAGATGCCCACAGAAGCGGTCGTCCTTCAACCTCCAAATATTTAAGAAAACGTGCGAAAGTTACAGGAAATTTTCAAATATATACTCAGGCGATTATAAACACTGGTGGACAATGCCAGTGCTTGTGTAGCATTTTAACACTATACTGCACTCAGAGCCGGTGCATGTGTCTCATACCCCACCCCGCGAATATCTTTCATACAGCCCTTCGAATATGTTATACGATACCCACCAATCTACAACATCTCAGTTTTCATAATGTAGTATTCTTATAAGATACAAATTTTATTGTAACCTAATTATGTACAATAATAGACCGTATGAAATGTAGGTGAACAATTCAACTAGAAAAATTGAAAATAAATACAATGTATCTAAATACAAATTAGAGACATGTTATAATAGATCATTCCATCTGGAATAAATCAACAATGTTTTGCAGCAATTATTAACACCAACTTCAGATTTTTCTTGTTAAAAAGTTGAATAATTGTAACATATCCAACATATGCGTGGAAAAACAACGAGGTTTATATAGTATTTATTCGACACTTAGCATGTACAAAACATAATGACAGATTTGGACACAAAGAATGGCTTCAAAATCCGCGAAAATTTTTCAACCTTTGATCATAGTCAATTGTGCTTAGTTTAGTCTGTAACGAATATAAATGTAGGTAGAAAAAAAAGCAAATGTTGGTATGATAGTAAAAGTCACAAAGCACTGCCTGGGATCCCTAAATAGGCTTCCTCCTACCCACCGGCCCTGAGTGTTCTTCTAGTGTTATACTATTCAAAATAAATCAAGTTTTATGAAGATCGACCAATTATTAATAAAGTTATTAGCATTTTTAAATAGGGAGTTTTCCCCCATCCATATTGCCGTCCTGGCTAAGACGATAAACTACATCCAACTACAAGACGATAAACTCCTACGGTAAACGATAAACTGTATCCATGTCTTGGGTAGACGGTAAACTACAACAGCAAGAAGAGCGTAAACTACACTGCTGTTGTTCCCAGGGTCCACCCCTGACCTGGGGTGGTAGCAAGGGACGATAACCACCAAACTGGGGTCAAATCCATCTGCCTCCTGGTCTTTATCGGTTTTCAGACGGTAAACAAGTACAGCATCCCGGACCATCGCCCACGCTCGCCGATCCTGAGAGGTTTTCAGGCGATTCCATCGTGGAACCAACTCTTGTGGACCCGAATTGCTAGGTTGTTCTTGGTAGTCCACGTCCCAGCTGCCCCCTGCACCTGCCAGCCAGGGAGAAGGAGGGAGAAGTACACGCGGATGAGCTCTCCCTCCGGGGTCTCATCTAAATGGACAAATATTTAGGTCCACCCTGAAAACTTTAAGGTCTCATCTATGGACAAATATTTAACCACCAAAACTGGGGTCAAAGAACTATAAACGTGTAAAAATAGATTTTAATAACGTCAATACATTTTTGTAAAAAGTTACCAGCAATGAAAAATTATTACCAGCAATGAATCTTTTGAAGAAAAACAATTATTACCAGCAATACATTTTTGAAAAAAATAAATATTACAAGCAATAAAAATCTTGTCGGCATTAAGTAACCCATTGAAGTTGATATGCCGTAAAACAAGTCAAACCAAACCAAACCCATCCACACTTTATAACTAAATGCCACTGTTTTGGAGGCAACTGACGTTTTTACCCTAATTTTAGCTCAAAACATACATTTGCGTCACAGAAATAGACTCATTTGATTAAAATTATATAAAATATATTGCTGTGTACAAATTGAAATATTATGTTACAAAACTAGTTCTGAATAATTAAGTAACAGAATTCAGATAGTCTCAAACCTTATTATAGTGGGCATATTTATAGTAAACTTATTTTAATCGATCCTTAATGGAAGTTGCTTAACGTACGAGATCCGATGTTTCAGCGCAATATATCCGTAAGCCCTGCGTATTCGAGAAATCGTAGTAAAGAAAAAGTGTCACCCGGCAGGAGATCGAACCTGCGCTACACTTTGTAGCGGCGTTAGCACTCGGCTACGAAAAAAAAAAAAAAACAACGTCACAGTAAGCAAGCCTCCCTAGAAGAAAGGCGGAAGCATTGGTTTAAGTGCATTGACAAAGAAGGACATTATGTTTAAAATAAATATTCACTGGGTAATAAAAATGCTTTTTCATCAGTAGGCTCAGAACCTATTGCTGTATTTACGTATTTATTGTGTGTGTGTGTGTGTATATATATATATATATATATATATATATATATATATATATATATATATATATATATATATATTTATACATACATACATATATTTATGTATGTATTTATGTGTTAAACACCTGAGAAATGTTTTAAATGTACACCAACACCGGCACTCTTTTCTCGAGAGCGCAGTCCGATAGATGAAAAAAAAAACATTCTTTAAAATAAAACGGAACATCTAATCAAATACGGTCATCCACAAATATTGTTTGAAGTAATAAAAAATATATCGGATTAAAAGATAAAATCTGCTTATATATATATATATATATATATATATATATATATATATATATATTTATATATATATATACACAGAGTGTCCAACTTTGTGAACTCTCCTCTCTCTCTGTATATATATATATATATATATATATATATATATATATATATATATATATATATATATATATATATATATATGCAGGTATGGAGAAAATAGGAAAGAACACGTTACATAAATTATCCGGAGTTATTTTTGTTTTTATTTTAAAAAACAGTGCCCCTTACAGAAGTAGAGCTTAAATTATAATTTTTTTTTATTTAAAAAAAAATGATTCTTATGAATGATATGAATCATATTTAAAAAAAAATAATTATAATATATCTATATATATATATATATATATATATATATATATATATATATATATAAACGCACACACACACACACACGTGCGCACACACACGTGTGTGTGTGTGTGTTCGATGTAATATCGTAAAATAAGTACATGTATACAGATGTGCCCTCCTGCGGGATTTGAGCCTGCGTCCCCTAGAAAGTCAGTAGCTCCTACATGGCCGAGAGGTCAAGGCACCTCAGAGTTAATGACGGTTTCCCCTCAGGGACGCAGGTTCGAATTCTGTCGGAGGACGAATATATTTTTCTGACAAGATTTCTCAAATATTCAGACCGGTAGATAAATAAATAAATATACTGTTTAATAATAAATACATAGTATCTACTCAAATGTGAATAGCCATTAAAAATAGCGTTTAAACGAAAAAAACAAACTTTTTTTTTTATTATATATATATATATATATATATATATATATATATATATATATATAATGTGCTATGTTAGACGTCTATTAATAACGAGATTTTTATATGTGCTACACATGTGTGTGTGTTTTGTGCGTGTGTGTACGTATATCGCAAATAATATATATCTATTACGTGTGTTACACACACACACACACGCACGCACGCACGTACGTACGTACGTACTTACGACCATATCACACTGAATCACCGGTTCTCGTTCGATCACCGAAGTTAAGCAACATCGAGCCTAGTCAGTACCTAAATGGGTGACATCTTCGGGGATGATAGGTGCTCTAAGTTTGGATGTGCAAGTGGTGTAATGGTTAACGCGTAGGAAATGGAAATAAGAGAGTCGAGTTCATATTCTAGTTGAGTTTGCTATATTTATCTACGTGCAAATACCCTTGGGAAAGGTAGGATCCATCGCTTCTCTCCCCCAGGCTATGGGTTAATTAGTAGGACTTGTATAAGTAAATCATTGTTATCTTTTCAAACATTCTGATAATCTAAAAATATTTTTTAGCTTTAAATAAGCCGTAAAAAACAAGTCAGACTATGCAAACACACAGAGGTGTTGTTTCATGTGATACATACAGGTTACATGTGCCCCACTATACACATATGCACACACACATGCACACATACTAGGATCGAAGGGGGTACCTCGTCGTGGTGTAATGGTTAGCAAGCTTGTCTTGCTAGATCAGTTACTACTGAAAAGTGAGTTCGATCCTCACTGGATGCCCCATACTTTCGGCCTTGTGCCACATCTAAGCTACGCTTGGAAAATCTCTACTAGGATCGAAGGTAAGATAGGTTGAAGAAAATGAGAGAAAAGAAAAAGAAAAATGAGAAAAACGCATATAGAAGACGAACAAGAAGTGTAATGAAGGAGAAAAAGGAGAAAAAAAAAGAAAATTTTGACAAAGAAAAAGTTAAGAAAGAAAGAAGCGACAAACGAAAACAGTTCTTGAAGGCGAAAGTAAAAAAAACAATGGATGAAAGAAAAAGCAAGGATAAGAAAAGAAAGAAGGAAGAGACAATAAGAAAAAAAAAGAGTTTGAAAAAAAGAAAGAAAGAACAATAAAAAGAAAACAAGGTTTAGCGAGAGAGAAGAACATAGGAGTAAAAAAACAAAAACTAAAAAAACAACAGATAGTCGGATAGAGAAGAAGAAAGAGGGAACAGGAGAAAAGAGAGAGTGGATCAGATAAAAAGAAATACAAAAAAAAATGAGGAAAATGAAAAGAAAGAACGGGAAAACAAGAAAAAAAAAACGAAAGAAAGAACACGACAGAAAGGGAGGGAAAACAAAAAAAGAAAGAAAACACGTAAAAAGAACGGGAGAATAGATAAAAAGAAAGAAAATGAGAAGGAGAGAAAAGAAATAGAACAAGAAAAATAAGAGAAAGTGGACACGAAAAAAAGAAAGAGGATAGTAAAAAGAAAGAATGGGAGAACGAGAAAAGAGAAAGAGAAAATAAGAAAAGCGATAAAGAAAACAAGACGGACAGAAAGAGATAAAAAGAAGAAAATAAAAAAAGAAGAAATTGTAAAATATTAAAAAATAAATAAATAACAGCACAAATAAAGACAAAAAGAAAAGTTACGAAAAAAAAAAAAAAGTAAGTCTTAGAAGAAATTTCCGTATGAACACGTTTAATCCCCCCAAAAGTTAAACACAAGATTATTCAACCCGTCTCCCGGCTTACAGGGTGGGCAGAAATGCAACTTATTTGTTAAAAAAGAAAGAAAGAAAGAAAGAAACGAAACAAAACAAAATGACAAAGACAATTGAAGCAAAAGATATTCCGGCAATTAATGAAAATCATTTTAAAATGTAACGCGGATTTATATTTGAACGTAGGAAAGAGAAAAAAAGACGATAAATGTCACTTAATCGTAATAATTATAAAATAAATAAAAAAAGCTACGGTAGTTTTCTTGAACAGAAAAAAAGAGGTGGCTTTAAACAAAATGTTAATGTATCTATTAAAAAATGAAAATAAAAATAATGATTCAGTA